TGTTTATCATCGTTCTTTTGGCAAAACTCAGGATTGAATTTTACATCACGGCACACTTCAGCTTTGTTCTTATCTGAGAAATATACTCGGTATCCACAGTCACTATACCCAACCAAATAACCCTTTTTGGACTTAGCATCAAATTTCTTCCTCTTTTGTTGAGGTATCCAAGCATAGCACTCACTTCCAAAAGTCTTTAGATGTTTGAAGTCTGTTTCACCCTTTAAAAATATCTCAATTGGGGTTTTGTTCTTGATTTTTGTTGGTCCAGTGCGATTGAGAGTATGTGTTGCAGCAAGCACAGCCTCTCCCCATATTCTTTTTGGTAAGTGAGGAGCTGACGTCATCCATGACCTGGCCATTTCACACAAAATTCGATTTTCCCTTTCTGCAACCCCATTCTGTTGAGGTGTATAAGGACAAGTCAAAGAGTGGTGAATTCCATTTTTCTCAGCGAATTCTTTAACATCTCTATTGTTGAATTCCTTTCCACCATCAGTTCTCAGCTCTTTGATTGTTGTTTTAGCTTGATTCTTCACAATCTCACAATACACTGGCAATTTATCTTTAACTTCATCTTTCTTCCTTAGAAGGAAAGTCACTCTAAAACTGGAAAAATCATCTTTAAAAACTAAAAAAAAACGATGACCATGTAAGTCAGGTTCTTCCATTGGCCCACACACATCGGCAAAAATTAACTGTCCAGGTTCATGTGATTTTTCTTGCCGTTCCTTAAATGGAGATCGTTGATATTTCCCCAACACGCATCCCTCACAAAACGGTTTATCAAATCTTACATCAATACCTCGTGATTTTAAAAAATTGTGAACATATCTATGATCTTGGTGCCCCAGTATTTCATGCCAAGACTGCAAATCATTATTTATTTTCTTCAAAATAAAACATGATTCTTTTGGTGGAATGACCTTAACAACCATATTATACAATTGATTAGTTGTATTAGATATAGCCAAAGCAATGGTTGTTCCGTTTTGAGAAAACACCCATGACTTACCATTGTTTTTCACAGTCTGGTGAATGCCTTTTTCACCTGCTTTCCTCACAGAGAATAAGTTACAAGCAACATCAGGACAGTACCAAACATCATCGAAATACCTGTAAGTCCACTGTTTACCATCAAAAACCATAACGTCTATTTTTCCTGACCCCAAGGCCTGAATATGAACACCTTGGCGAGCACTGTCCATCTTTTTAGGAGTATCAAATGGTTTGTAAGTGGCGAACCAGTCCCTGCGGTTTGTCACATGGTGAGAAGCACCACTGTCAACAAGCCAGTTGTCACATTCACTGAAAAATGACTTATCAATTAGGCCTACCTCTAGATTTGATCGAGTCATCATTGCAGCATTTTGTATCTCACGGGTACATTCATTTGATTTATGTCCTTTTGTGTGACACTTAAAACAAATTACACCTGTTCGACAGTTTTTAGATAGATGACCATTTTTGCCACATGAAAAACATTTTATCGCTCCTAATTTTTGCAAGTCTCCTTTTTTGGCATTTTTGGCTCCCATATATTTTGGCTGTTTAGAACTTACTTTTATTTTGGAAACCATGGCTACTGCTACATCCATCTCATCTCTGTCCTTTAGACGTAATTCAAAGTTGAGACATTTCTTCTGTAGAATGTCCCATGTCTTCACCTCCCTTGGTGAGTCGTGCCAAGTCACATATATGTGATCATATTCCTTTGGTAGAGTTTGAAGGAGTCGAGCACACAAATCGTCTTCATTAATAGGCTTACCGTATATTGTTAATTGGTTTTGGATTTCGTCAAACTTTTCTAGATGACCATTCATTCCAAGGGTAGGTTCCCAAGAAATGTTATGGAACTTATTTCTCAATATGTCAATATTTTCAGTTGACTTGACATCATAAATGTGGACAAGTTTCTCCCACATCTCTTTTCCTGTAGAGCAATTGCTTACTCTAAGTAGAGGATTCGTCTCAAGGGATAAAACAATATATTTTCTGGCTTTTGCATCATTTTTTGACCAATTTACCAATTTTTCGTCATAATTTGGTGTACCTGCTGTTGGTTTTCCGAATTCTCCACTAACAATTCCATAAACTCCTTCACATTCTAAGATTACCTTCATGACTATTTTCCATGTTGTGAAATTCTCAGTCCCTCTTAATTTTTCAATCTGTTTTTCATTACTCATCATTCACTATTCTATTAACTTCTTCTCAATTAATTTAACCACTCTGTTCTGCTACCATGTTGGAAATATCGTCTAAAATAACAAGTCGTCTTGTGGATCAAAAATTAAGTTAATTTAATAGTAAAACTGATAGAATGAAAAAAAAACTTAGATTTGTGTATACATCTTACTTCATCAAAATATAACAAACAACTAAACTCTGTTGCCAAGGAAACATCATATGTTCTTTTCTAACATAACTATTATGGACATTATAATATGAATATATTATATCTTCAACAAAAATGATGAAGTAAGAGCTATAAATGAAGATGACAGTCGACCTAAACGTCAGCGACATACACCATCATACCTTCAAGACTATATTTACTTGCTGAATCAGGTCCCTCCTACGACGAAGCAGTTAACAGTCCTGATTGGTGGCACTGGCAAGCTGCTATGAATGATGAAATGGTATCAATAAATTAAAATGAAGTGTTTGAGTTAGTTCCTCGTCCACATGGTAAAAGAATTATAGGTCTAAAGTGGGTTCTAACACGAAAACAAAATCCAGAAAGGTTCAAGGCAAGGTTGGTAGCAAAAGGATATGCTCAAAAGTATGGAGAGGATTATAATGAGACATTCAGTCTGTAGCCCGAAGCGATACCATTTTTTTTAATGTAGCTGTTCAAAAAGATCTTTACTTAAAACAGTTTGATGTAAAAACTGCATTTTTGTATTCTAAGTTAGATGAGGATATCTATACTTGGCAACCTGAAGGTTATGATGACAAAAGTCGAAGAGTTTGGAAACTGAAACGCAGTTTGTATGGTCTGAAACAAAGTCCAAGGTGTTGGAGTAAGTGTCTAATGCAAAGTATGCTTAAGAATGGTTATATCCAAAGTACTGCAGATCAATGTTTGTTTATTCGTAACAAGAACGGTTGAAAATTGTATGTAGTAATATTTGTGGATGATGGTCTGATTGCTGGTTCAAGTCAACAAGAGATGTCTGATTTTATTGCACAATTGGAACAAGACTTCAAGCTGAAGGTTACCGATCCTGAAATCTACCTTGGAATGGAGATTCATAGAGCAGAGGACAGGATTTCTTTGAGTCAGAATTCTTACATCAAGAGTGTACTTGAAAGGTACAGGATGTCAGAATGCAATCCAGTTGGTATGCCTTTATGCACGAGACATGAAGATACAGTTGAGGAAAACAAGCCTTTGAGTAAAGGAGTTCCCTTCCGAGAAGCTGTGGACATAAGTTGTGCAGTGAATATGGTAGCACAAAAGCTAAACAATCCTACTATGCAAGCATGGAGTGATGTCAAGAGAATATTCCGGTATTTGAAGGGGACATTGGATTATTCACTGACTTATTCCAAAAGTGAACCAATTCTCCGTTGCTAAAGTGATGCACTAGCGTCTAGACTGCCAGTGCAACTCCGAGGATCGTGGATCAGAGGCGCTGTGGCACCACCGCACCATGTCGTACGCTTCCGAATCATACCGGCGCATTAGCGTAGCTTATCTAACTGTTCACGGAAAATTGTTATCTGTATCACTGTCGCTGTCAAAACGTATAATTTGTAGATTAAATTTAAATTAAATATAATTAAACTGTCATAACCTAACCAAACTAACCAAACTTGCTGATAATGATAAACTTGAATGAAGGTTTACTTATCGAAAAACTAGCTCTGTTCTAAAAATAAAATTATAAATGTCTCAAATTAAATTTTATAATTTTTGAATTATAAAATTAAACTGTCATAACCTAACCAAACCAACCAAACTTGCTGATATGAAAAAATTTGTTGACAAAAAGTTAGTGCTACCAGCGGGATTCGAACCCGGCACCTTCAGATTATCAGCCCGGCACGCTATCCACTTCACCACCAAGGCTCATGACTCAGCTCCGTATCGTTGCAGTAATGGTTGACGTCACGCCATCGGCACGGAGCGGTGGTGGGGGGTTTTTCGATCTGATCCACGATCCTAGGAGTTGCACCGGCAGTCTAGATGCTTATCAGTGATGCTCATTTGCAGAGACTTTGCAAATGACAAGTCAAGAAAGTCACGTACAGGATATTTGTGTATGTTTGCTAATGGCATTGTAAGTTGGTCTTCAGTGAAGCAACATTGTGTTACATTATCAACCACAGAAGCAGAGTTTGTTTCTGCGAGTGAGGCTTCTAAGCAAATTGTATGGTTGAAAACTATGTTGGGGGAGATATATGGTCAAGAAATCAAGGCTGTTCTTTTTGTAGACAACGCTGGAGCTGTTCGACTAGCTAGGAATGCTGCGAGTCATAAGCGGTCAAAACACATTCATGTGAGATATCAGTATGTACGTGAGCGATTTCTTGCAGGTACATTTGATGTACGCCACGTGTCTGGGAATGACCAAATAGCTGATTTCCTGATGTAAGGCCTACCAGCGTCCAGATTGAAAACCCTGTTGGAGCGTGTTAGTTTGAGGGAATATTAAAAGAAACTTACTAGCTCACTGTCTATTTACAATCACATGGTTTATGATTAATTAAATCATGCGTATGAATGTTTTATCTTGACACATTTTCTGAAAACACAGTTTATAATAAAGTTTAACAACTACTAATCAATTATATTTTCTTTCTTTATTTAAAAGGTCCAAGACTAGGCCCAACCACCCAGGCTAGCAATTTTCAGGTTGGTGGGTCACTTCCTGTCACGAGTGCTACAGCTACTACTGTTGCAGGTATTCATGATTGGTTTCCACCCTTAAAACATTCTGATAAGTTGAGATTTAGATAAGCTGGTTTCTACTAGACTTAGCTGTACTCACCATTTAGGAAAAATTTCAATTTGTTTGCATATATATTCTGCAATGGGATGTTCAAATCCAAAGCAACTGGACCAATAAGTCCTCTGAACCCACCAGACACCAAGTACACTGGAATACTTCTCTGGTGCAAACAGTCTACAAGTTTCCTGAAAAATTTACAAACAAATTTAGGAAAACTAGGAGCGTGATGTGATGTTTTGTCATATTTAAGCTATTAGAAACCCAAACCACAATGCAAAATTAATTAGGCCTCCTGATATCTATTTTAAATATAAGTTAGTTGTCAATATGTTATTTTGATAGTTTTTAAGCTGAACATGTTGGATTTAATTATTCTGATTTTAATAGATTATTCTTGCAATTAGGTGGCTGGTCTTAGTAGCAAAGCCGTCATATCACTCATTATACACCAATCCATTATTCGTCTTATTCTACAAACAGTACAGTGTTAGTATCTATGTTTATGAACAGAAAAAAAATACAAGCCTACCAGCTAAAAATGAGTCATTGGAATATTGTTGCTATTTCAATACAGCTAACATTTTTGACATTATAATTTTAACTAGTTGTTACCCACGGGGCTTCACCCTGTTTGACTTCATAAGTATTAATAAAACTATTGATTGGTTAAGTTAAGCTGAAATAAACAAAACAGAATACAGTTTATACAAACAAATAATCACACCTTTTTTTTGTAAAATTTTATTTAATTTACAATCTGTTCAACAAAAAATAGAACAATAAGCAAATTTGATAAAATTTAAACACAGTAGTTAGTTAGTCTTTATCCAACAATACACACAAACTTTGCATATTTGGTACAAAGTTTGAAGTCTAAAAACGACTACTTAAATCCAAAACATGGCATCTTTTCAATCTGTATGTATAGTTGCTGTTGTCCAATAAATTTATAGCAAGGTAGTTAGGATGGTACTCTAATTTCTTAGTATTTGGCACTTAATTTTGAAATTTCTTCTTTGACTATTGGGGTTCGACTGTCCCTGTGAATTACTTCGTTATTGACGAACCATGGTGCCTGGAGAATGTGTCTTAGAACTTTGGATTGGAATCTTTGGATGATGTTCAAATTGGATTCACTGGATGTCCCCCACAGTTGGATACCGTACGTCCACACTGGTTTTAGAATGGTTTTATATAAAAGCAATTTATTTTCTGTTGATAATTTAGAATTTTGATTTAATAGCCAAGAAAGATTTTTAAATTTAACGAAATTCTCTTGTTCCAGATGTGGCTTTTCCAAGTGAGTCTTCTATCAAGGGTCAAGCCCAAGTATTTAACCTCATTGCACTGTGGGATTTGAACGTTGTTTAGGGTAACTGGAGGACACGTGTCTAATCTTGTTGTAAAGGTTGTATGGACCAATTTACTCTCATTTACTTTGATCCCCCATTTTTTAGCCAATCGGAGATATCATCGAGTCCAGTCTGCAAAATTTGTGAAGCTATAACAGGGTTTTCATGAGAGGCTATAATAGCAGTATCATCAGCGAATGTTGCAATTTCGACATTAGGATTTTCAGGGAGGTCCGCTGTGAACAATGTGTAGAGAACGGGGCCCAATACACTTCCTTGGGGAACTCCTGCATGAATTTCGTGAAGTGGGGTAACAATATCACCAAATTTTACTCTGAAGTGTCGATTGAAAAGGTAAGACCTCATGAGATTGAAAAATGTGTGAGGAAGATTAGGTTTTAGTTTATAGAGTAAACCAGTATGCCAAACTTTGTCAAACGCTTGACTCACGTCAATGAACACAGCAGAACAAAACTTCTTTGTCTCGATATCCTCTTTGATAACATCCACCACCCGATGGACCTGCTCAATGGCAGAATGTTCTTGCCGAAATCCAAACTGGTGATTAGGAATTAAGTTTGATTCATCAATCACAAAACGAAGGCGCTTTAAAAGAAGTTTTTCAAAAACCTTCGAGGCAATGGGGAGGAGACTGATAGGCCGGTACGAACTAACTTGATTTGGTGGTTTTCCAGGCTTTTGAATCATTATAATTTCAGATGTTTTCCATTGAGTAGGGCATGCTCAGTTCGCAAAATGGAATTGAAAATTAGGGTCAAGAATAAAATTGCTTTTCTTGGAAGTTCTTTGAGAATTTTTCCTGTGATCAAATCATACCCAGGGGCTTTGTGCAGTTTTAACCCCTTAATTACTTTTATCACTTCAGAAGATCGAAACTGAGATATCGGCAATGACATCTGATTGGGGCAGTCGAGGAATTCTTCAATTTCTTGGTAGTCGTTATTCAAATTTGTATTTGGCGTGAACACTGATGAAAGGTGGTCAGCAAACAAAGTCGCTTTCTCTTCGTTACTTCTGGCCCATGACCCGTTGGGCTTAAGTAGAGGGGGTACTGGAGTTTTAGGTTGTTTCATATTCTTAGTAACCTTCCACAAAGAATAGTTTGTACTTTCAGTTGGAGACAAATTTGCAGTAAATTCACAAAACCATTTATTTTTAAGATTCTTTAGCGCTCGTTTTATATCTTGAGAAGCTTTATTTAAATTGGCTTTATCCCTTTGGTTACGTGACTGTTGCCATATTCTTCTTAGTCTTCTTTTCTCCGCTATTCTCCGCTTTATCTCAACTGGATAGTTTATATGATTCAAGTTCTTTTGTTGGTTACCTGGCAAACTCCACCGCATCATCGATGTCATCTGGCGTTTTCAGGGGTATTTTCAAAAAAATATTTTCATTCATAATTTGCCAAAATTTTTCCCAGTTGGTCAGTTTATTAGAGAGAGTTGGTGAACGTTCTTTATAAATTATGGTTGAGCTTATCGTTGCTATTATCGGAGAATGGTCTGATGAAAGATCCAGGCAAGATTTGACATCAGTATAATTTTGTCCAATACCTTTAGTCACAAAAAAATCTATGAGGTCTGGAGTTCTTTGAGGATCAGTGGGCCAGTGCGTAGGCTCGCCTGTTGACAAATAGTTCATATTGTTGTTGTTAATAGATATTAAAAGCTGTCTTCCTCTAGGGTTAGCTAGCCTTGATCCCAACATTGGATGCTTTGCATTATAATCGCCTCCTGCCACAAACCTAGGACCGAGGGTGTTGAAAAAATCTGTAAAGTCTTGATTCATTATATTGTGGCGAGGGGGGCTATATATTGCAGAAATTGATACTGGTCCTGCCCAGTCCTCAACAACAATACTCGTAGCTTGAATGTGAGGCTGTTGAAACTTTGGCAACTCATAATGTTTTATTTGATTTCTAATTAAAATTGCAGTTCCACCATGTGCAGTGTTGTCTGGATGGTTTGTATGATACCTACATTACAAAATTTGGAATTTTGAAAAAGTTTAAAATTGTGAAGTGGGTTTCTGATACAAGCATTATATCAATTTTGTTTTGTGAAATGAAATGAAATGAAAAATAATCACACCTGATTTTAATAAGGTAATAAATTGAAAGAATAACAAACAAATAAGTACAGCTGAGGTATTTTTAACATTAGGTATATGGAAAGTTCCCTTTAGAAAGGAATTGCAACCTTAAGGGCAATTTATGAAATAATGGATAGTTTTGCACAAGGTTTCTCGTCATGACGAACATTTTAATTATATAGTTTATGGGGGTGTGACTTGTAGTTTTCTCAAAAGTTCATGGGTACTTTGGCAATTTATATATGGATACGCTATTATGTGATTCATAATATTAGGCCTATTTACTTTCAAAAACATTTTTTGTTCATATAAACTGAATATTATTTTATGTCTTATAGCAAAACCATAAGAAGTAATACAAAATCAGAGTACGCTAAGATTTTTAGAATAACGATAATATGCCTAGTTTAATTATTGAAAACAATTTACCCATTCATGCAAATCCCCACCTCTAGACAAGTACAAAGAGTGTTAACTGTCATGAGGAGTACTTCCGAGATTTCAGACATATTTCACTATACACTAAACTTCCTTTAATCTGGCATACACGGGACTTGACGCATGCCACATTACAGTAGACTCCCTCTTATCCGGACTCATCGGGACCGAGGCCATGCTGCAGCACGGGCAGCGCATCAATACGTCACAGTGGTGGATAATTGTACTAAACTTTTACCATTTAAATCTTACAAACAGCCAGCTTGTTTATTTACCTACCTAAAACATATGGGAATGGCGATGGCAATGAATTTATCAATGAAATCTATCCACTAGTGTGATCGTCATGGATCCTGCAGCATGGCCTCTTTTTCTAGTGGGGCCTTGCTTCACCTCACATTCAAGTTGGCATGGCCTAACCACAAGCTACTAAAGCTGTCATGGTAACTTATCACCCAATAACAGCCTACTAAAGTTGTCATACACAGTAGCAGACAGCTGTGTAGGGAGTAGATGATTTTCAGTGTAAGTGCATAGTTTGACCTTAAAGCTATTGATTGATATTTCTTTTTTATGCTTCCATTTTACTTTGGTCAGATGAACTGTGATGTTTCAAAAAGAATAATGTGGGAGCCTAGTACTGCATATAAATAATGGACGGAAATAATTGAATACACAAGACATTTTAACACGTTAGACTAAAGAAACAGAATTTATAAAATTGTCTTGGTATTTTTCTTAGATAATGAGGTTATAAACATAATTTAAGAAGCATCTATTAAGCACAGTCGATCCGCACCCGGTTAATCGAGGTGCTACTGATTATTTTTCAAAAATGTTTCTGAAGGTCGTGCCCGATTGTAGGATGCCAGATCAGAGGAAGTTAACTGTATTACTGGGGAAAGTTTTTAACATCTTGTACTCACTTAATACCTGGTGTCAGTCTTGGAGGACAAAATCTTATAAAGTCCCGTATCTGAGTCATGGTTGGTTGAATTATGTTCAGTCTAGCAGTTAGTGCCTCTCGGAATCCAATACCTCCTCCCATTGCATTCTTGGTCCTGTTAGGTTAGGATAAATACTCTCAATAATAATTATCATATAAGAAACTCATTATCATATAATAATGCATACTGATTCATTTGACCTGGGCATGCACAATGTTTTCTTTTCCTGCTATAAGTGTACGGGATTTGACTAAAGCAATCCACTGACTGATGGCGTTAAGAAATCCTTGTGAAGAACAAGTTAGCTGTTGGATGGTTTTCTTGCTTGCTATTTGAGACAACCAATCTATTGACTTTGAATAGTCAATAGTAGCTGTGTAGCAATTAAAGGAAGACAGATCTCCGAGAGGTTAACTCAGGAAAAAGGTAAAAAAACAAATTAAAACTAAATTGTAGCAGCTGACCCAGATTCAATATGTTAAACGTGATTAAATACAACCCTATAATTAAGGTGCGTTCTCTTAGGAGAGACTCTTAGGAGGGAACTTGTTGAGAAAACAACATTTTTTCAGGAAATTTCTAATCAAGATATTTTATTCAAGTATAAAAATTGATAGGTGTGCGGTTAAAAATTTGTTTTTCTGATTAGCTTAATACAGAGTGTATCTCGTACATCGTCCACTATTGATGTAAAAAAAATGTTGGTCCCACAATGACGAAATGACTTTAAACTATTCTTTGAATACGGAATGTACCAACAGCAGAGGTTCACTAGTAGCTCTTGTTACTACAAACATTTTGGCAGAATCAGAATTTGACCATTTTTATTTGTTTCAAAATTATGGCTCCATGTGGGAATTTTTGTTATTTTGAATGGCCTACTCTATATTTTTCCTAAAAATACAGATAACTCTACTCTGATTAAAATTTTGCATTCCTTATGAGCTAAGCATGACTAGTATGCGCTAAGCTTTACTTTGACATGCAATATTTCAATATCACCAAAACAATTTTTTTAATAGTTAAAATCTTGAAAAATTCAGATACAATACAACCCCACTGATCCGCCACCTACGGGACGTGGATCGTGGCAGGAACAATGAAAGGGCGGATTATCCAAGGGGCATATTAAATTGCAAAATTAATTGTTCAACTGACATTTATTAATTGTGAACGACCACTAAAGAGTGTCAATGTTCCCTTGACTGCGGGAGGCGTTAAATATTTTGCCACTATCGGGATTATGATCCTTTCCATGCTTGTAGTATTAATTGTCTACGATTTTTCCTTGATCGCGGAAGACAATAATAATGTTCCCGTGACCGTGAGAGATGTTCAATGTTTTGCCACGATTGCGGAGGATGGCGATAAATATTTTCTGTATCGCAAAAAACGATGATGATGTTTCTGCAATCGTAGGGGATGATCAAGATTTTTGGGTCCGCTGAATTGGCTAACTCTGGAACTCGCTAACCCCATGTTAAACACCCTATCTTCAAATTTGTAAACTTGTATTTAAACACATAACCGTCGTAAACCTGATAACTGACAGTTTTGAGACAAACCAAATGACTCGAAAACAGACGTCTTGCCATATCTATTTTTTTAGTAGGTACTCTTTACTGCTTATCCGATGATTTAAAATAGTAGCTTCATAGATCTTTGAGACCATAGCCTTGAGGTAATTTTTACACTGGTTAAAAGTAGCGTAGTTAAATATTTTCTTACTGACAAAGATGACCCCAAATGGTCTCAAAAATATTGTTTAGTGAATGAGGTACTAAAGACAATTTGATAACAAGTTGAGGTAATGTACAATAAACAGGATATGATCTATTTATATGTAAACAACGTAAATCGCAAACAATTTGTAATAGTTTGCTAAAAACATTACTCAGAAGTATTTCAATTTTCATAGCATAAACTAACATTAAGAACCCAGACAGAATATTTTACTATAAATAAACAGATTTAAGTTACATGCATAGTAATTATTGGGAGATATGGTTTAAAATTTCCCGTGCACACAAAGTAAATGTTCCTTTACTAAAGGGAAACAATTAGATTGACAATAACTGTATGAAAGGTAAAACGCCAACTATAACCAAGTTGTAAATAGTGATGTTGAGAACAACATACCCCCGCAAAAAACCTGTCAGCTAAGCGAATTTCCATTTGCCTGAATTGATTTTCAATTAAATGTATTTAATTAACATCAGGTGTTATGATTACCTAGGCTTGCTGCTACAGGGAGGGTAAAAAGTGTGTTTTTTAGTAAAATCTCAATAAATTAGTATAAAATGAAATAAATTTACCAAGTATCAAACTTTGAACTTTAAAGTTTGACCATTAACAAGCAAATTACAACATTTTACAATATTCTCCGTAAGAATAACATGGGAATTTTATTTAACATTTTTTTTATTTTCTCCGTAACAAGTCTAGGTACTCCTGGATTTGGAGGGAGTCGGTGGCTCAGTCGGTAGCGTCGCGGACTTCGGGCCCAAGGCAGCGATGTCGTGGGTTCGGATCCTGGTCACTGCCGATAACATTTTATAAGTACAGTTCACCTTTGTACTGTACCGGCTCACTCCTTGCTTTGCTGCAAACGATCCACGCACGGGCGCTTAGTCTATGTGGACGGGCAAATGCAAGGTTAAAAAAGGCCGCCAACCTCTTTAAAAAAAAAAATAAATAAATAAATAATTTTACAAAAACACTTTGATATAGTAAATATTTTTTTTTAAGCTCTTTAAAAAGGTCTGGAGAGAAATTGGGAAATTTTGTGTTTAGAAGGTCAAAAACTAGAAAAACTAATTTTTACCCCATAAAACCCCCCGTAAACCTCGTTACCATAGTCCAATCATGCTGGTTCGCAAACTCATTCAAGTTTATCTTGCCTTACACCTTCAAACCAAATTTCATCAAAATCGGACAAAATTACTCAAGTTATCATGTTCACAGAGACACACACACACACATATATATATATATAAAATCCAATGTATGTTTGTTTGTTTGTCCTTTATGGACTCCGAAACCGCTCAAAACAGATTCTAATGAAACTTTCAGGCATTATTAAGCATTATTCAAGGATGGTTTGTGTGAAGTTTGGTGAATTTCCGTCAAAAGGGCTCCGCCCCAGAGGCTCTGGAGTTTCCCGTGTTAACTTTATGAGTACTCATATTTAAATGGAATTAAAGAATCTTAACAGCTGGTTCAACTAAACAATTTGATTCTGTGATGTTCAATAGCATTAAAAAGGTAATAGGTTTACCAACAGGGTGCAGCACTATATTTTTCTTAATTTATGACAACAGCTAATTTGCAACCAAAAGGTGAGTGAGCGTAGCGAACGAACTTCAACCCGGAGGCGTGTTAGCGTAGCGAACGAGCTAACCTGAAGGCAAGGGAGCGCAGCGAACGAGCTCCAACCTAAAGGTGAGTGAGCGTAGCTTCAACCAGGACATGATTGAGCCATGCAAACGAGCTCATCTTGGAAATGAACCAGCATTGACATAGGAAAGGACGACGTCTGTCGGGCCAGCTAGTATATATATATTTGAACGAATGGTGTTTTTGGCCTCTGGGGACATCAAAATAAAAAAGTAAATCTGTCCTAGGCCTAGGTCTTACCATGCCACCTACGGTAATAGCTACTTCCCTATAGGGAAAATCGCTAAAACTAACACATTTAAAAATACCCCCGCCGCAGCAAACCAGCAGACTAAGCGAATTTCCATTTTCCTGGCTGGATTTCTACTAAAATATGTACCCTGAAAATTGTCAGATTTATTTCCTATTTAAATAACAGTACCTGGAGACCGAGCTTTGCTCGGGGAAAATCATTAGTTTACTCTGAAAGCAGTCTTAACCCTTCCCGAATGGGTGACGGATATATCCGCCTAAGTCTCTGGCAATAAAGGACGGGAAGCGGATATATCCGCCTTCTCTTCAGACAGACTGGAAAGTGCTTGAGCAGTAACCAGATGTTTCACGGTACCAAGGCACCACTTTCTTGCTCTCTCCATGGCGGCGCTCTCTCCCACACTCCCCCCTCTCTCCCGCGCCTACCCCTCTCCCACGCCTCCTCCTCTCCCGTGCCCCTCCCACCTCTCATACGCTTATTTCATACGCTCCCCCCTTGACGTTTCGCACTCACCACTACGTTATCTTTATTTATAGTTTACATATTGTTCTTTATTTATTGCCTAACGTTGTCATGGTCATATCTTCAAAGACGGGTGGCAAATATATCAGCTGCTTATCTACTCGTCCGCGGACGGGTAGCGGATATATCCGCATAGTAAACAAATTATTTTGACAGTATGAAGTGTTCCATTGTGTTTATTTTATGTATACTTGTATAACAAAACACAAATAAGGAAAATTAATTTTTATTTTTTCCTATAATTTTGTCCCGTTCTATGTCACGATTTCGCCCGTCCGGGAAGGGTTAGTATTGCAGATACATGAATCCATTCCCACACTCCGCACTGCTAGCCTTTACTAATTCGTTCACCACTTCCTGTGTCGTGGACATGTTTCCATTTCTTCTCATAGCATTTAAGTATTGCAGATACATTATTCTAACTGCTACAAACTGTTTCCAGTTCCCACACTCCACACTGCTCCCCTTTTCTACTTCCTTCACCCCTCCCTATGTCGCGGACCTGTTTCCCTCCCAACCCATAGCATTTTTGGATTGCAGATACCTTAACCCATTGGCGCCGACTTACGAACGTTACTCGTACGGCCGCTGCAGGCCCGGCGGCCGACTTACGAGTGCCGCTCGTGTTACCGCTAGGCAGCGCCATTAGTTATTTAGTTATTATTATTTTTCGCCCTTTTTGTTTCTTTTTACTATTATAATGTTTATAAATATCTTGCTTCTTGATTTGCGTATTTACTCATTTATTTTACCGAATAACAAACAATTTTGTGTTGCCATGGAAACCACATATCACCAAAAATCAGCTGCGGTAAGGTAAATAAACAATAAAAAAAAATGTTATCTATACTATTATATAAAAATCTAATGGTGTCTGTCTGTATGTGTATTACTAATAGGTGCAAAAACTACTGAACCAACTGGGCTTAAATTATACAAAAAT